TCTTATGGCTGTTGAACATGGCCACTCTTTGGTGGTATTTCTGGGCACTGGAAAATAAAAGATTGCTTCTCTTAGGAGCAGTGCTGTCCAAAAGAAATAGCAGTCTCAGATACAATTTTAAATTTCTTAGTAACCACATTAAAAAAGGTAAAAAAAAAAAAAAAATGGGAAAATTTTCATCTATTTTACTTAATCTAGTATATCCAAGATATTATGTCAACATGCAATATAGAAATTATTAATAAGGTACTTTGCTTTCTTTTTATTTGTGCTAAGCCCTCAAAATTTGGCGTGTATTTTACACGCACAGCATGTTCCGTTGGGGTTACCCGCGTTAAGGGATCCGTAGCTCCACGTGGAGACATGCTACCAGTGGGCGACACGCCTTCAGTGACTATAGAGATCTGTAAAAATGTCTTAAACCCACCTCATGACTGTCTTCAGATTGCTTATGTCTGTGGTATATCCCACCCCTACAGAGACAGTATATTGTATATGTCAGCTTCTGCTAGTGTTTCTGACGGATTCTGCTCTGTCTGGCTGCCGGTTCATAATAGTTTGTAATATTACCTTTTCATTGTAGAGTGCACCTCTTGGGAATGGCCTTCCTACTTCCTAATCATAAGACAGAACATCTAGGAGACTAGGTTGAAAACAGTAAAAAGACTGGCAGGTTTCCTATAAAAATGACAAAATATTTTTATGTGAAAAAAGATACAACAGACAAAGCAGGAAGGCAAGGCACCATTGAGATCAGCCCGTATGGCTCTTTATCCTCCTAACTGAGTCGATGTGCCTGGCAGCCCTGTGATACAGGTACTATGATTATCTCCATTTTACAGATAAGGAAACAAAGGCACAGAGAGGTTAAGTAACAGGCCCAAGGTCACACAGCTAGGGAGTAGCAGAACTGGGATTCAAACCCAGGCATTTGGGCTCCGGTGCCTGTGCACATAACCACCATGCTAAATCACTTCCCCTATGCTTTACGACAGAAGAAAACATTTTAAATGTATATAAAAAAATGTAACGTCCAGAACATACAAAAAGCTGCTATCGATCAAGAAGAGAAGTACAGTAAAACCTTGACTTGTGAGCATAATTTGCTCTGGAAACATGCTCGTAATCCAAAGCACTCATATATCAAAGTGGATTTCAAGAACTATTGACTCAGTTGTGATTATGTGACATGTGGCATCATGTCCTACTTGTACTGCAAGACATGGCTCACTTGTCAAGTTAAAATTCATTAGAGGTGTTTGCTCGTCTTGCGGAACCCTTGCTGAACAAGGTACCCGAGATCCAAGGTCCTACTGGATAAACGCCCCAATAGAAAAATGGGCAAAGGATAAGAACAGGCAATTCTTAAAGAAACGGAAACAGCCAACAAACATATGAAAAGACACTCAATTTACAAGTCATCGATACAGGCGGGTTAAAACGAGGTACGATTTCTTTCACCCAACAGACTGGAGCAAACATCTTGCGGCTTGCTAACTGGCACCCCTGGGGCGGTACGGAACCTGCCTTGCCTCTTTGAATGGCAAGCTGGCAGTGCCCACCACCATTTAAACTGTTCTTTGCGGCGACATTTACCCCAATGTTTACAGCGGCGCTGTCAACAGAAGCCAAATTATGGAAAGAGCCCAAATGTCCATCAAGTGATGGATGAAATAGATTAGATGTGGTTTATACATACAATGGAGTACTATTCGGCGATGAAAAAGAATGAAATCTGGCCATTTGCATCAACACGGATGGAACTGGAGGATATTATGCTAAGCCAAAGAAGTCAGAGAAAGACAGATATCACATGATTTCACTCATACGTGGAATTTGAGAAACTTTACCGATTTTCATAGGGGAAGGGAAGGAAAAATAAGATAAAAACAGAGGGAGGCAAACCATAAGAAACTCTTAAATACAGAGAACAAACTGATGGTTGAGGGGGTGGGGGAAATGGGGGCTGGGCATTAAGGTGGGCACTTGTTGGGATGGTCACTGGGTGTCATATGTAAGTGATGAATCACTGGGTTCTACTCCTGAAGCCAAGACTACACTCTATGTTAGCTAACTTGAGAATTAAAAAAAAAAAGCATACATACGAACTTAGAAAACCTTAAAATAAACTGTTCACTTTTTACTTTTTTCACTTAAAAAAAATTTTTCTTTTAATTATGTAATCTCTACACCGAAGAGGGCTCGAACTCAAGACCCTGAGATCAAGAGTCACATGCTCTTCCGACTGAGCCAGCCAGGTGCCCCTAGAGCGCACTTTACTTTGACACATGAGCACGGAGATACATGCACACGGAAGCTCTTCCTAATCAAGCTCCGCGGGACCACTTGCTGAGTCGATGGCACTGTTTCCCTGCAAAGCTGTGCAGGGGTCCGCTGAGCTCTTTGGTCACCAGGCCACCTGCACACTTCCCTCCCCACCTATGAGCCGCCCGCCCCCGTGCTTGCCGTCACACTCATTCAAGCTAGCTGTACTGCAGGCCACAGGGAGCGGTTTTCATGAAAATTAAGCTGAAGGCTCTTAAGAGGCCTTCAAAAAGCAAGTTGCCAACAAAAAGCAAGTTGCTAAAAACCAAAACCCAAATCAAACTGCTGTTGAATGAAACAACTGTAAGTATGGGGGGAAACCTCACAAACATCCGTAAGGATTTTGCCCCTACGAGTCTCTGTAAGTGTCTGAACTCCAAAACCAGAGTTTTGTGACATTGTGACTACACTTTAAACAGGAAAGAGAAGACACACACAGCTGGTCCCCCGGTGAGAAGCCAGGAGCCGAGAAAAGGCCGGCACACGTCTGCGTTTTCTTGAACAACGAAAACGTGTTCATGAATTGCCTATTTAATTCTAAAACACTTAAAAACAAAGCGATACCGTCATCAACGTAAAGGATCCCTTTAACAATACAAGATGATTCGCTCCCTTTGTGAACTTATCCGAATTCGACTCTGTCCCACAATGTAACGGGTCTAGTTTTCCAATCGATTGGAGGATTTCGGTCTTTCCATGGAGGATTTAAGCAATTTACACTTATTATAACTGATAAGTTTGCTACGGACTCTGCCGCCTTATTTTATGTTGTTGGTTTTTGTGTGTGTGTGTGTGTGTGCTGTTTTATGGTTTTCTTTCATTACAAAGAATATGGTTTTCTTTTATTACAAAGAGAGCCCTGTGCTCTCTGCTTTAACTTTACTTATGTTGTAGAAAGCTTACGTTAGAAGTTCTACTAGAGTTTATCCCTAAGCTTTCCGAAGTAGTTCAAATCTTTATTTCTCTAATTATCAAGGTAGGAAAAAGAAATATTTACCCAGAAATTGGTCTTTTTCCCTTGTTCCAGGGACCAAAAAAAAAAAAAAAAAAAAAAAAAAAAAGGCCCCATGGTGGTAATACTGTGTGAAACAAGTCAAATACAAAATAGTATCTTATAATTCCTAGTTAGGGACGGCGGCCGTGTCTGCAGCTGGGGAAGCCTCTAGGAGGGACGGACAGCTGCGGGGGTGGGAGGGGTGTCTCTCCACGTGTTCCGGCACCTTCCTCAAGGTTGCTTTTCTCAATCCAGCGCCCCCCTGCCTCCGGGGAGGTACCCCCATACATCTTCATTTCCATGGGGGCGACTGGCTTCTTTATGCCTCCTCCAGTATTTTTTATGCAAAACTGGGGAGAAGCCACATCGGGAATGGATGCCTACACATTATTTACATCAGAAGTTTCATAAGAAAAAACAAAACTCTTGACACAGCCATTTACAAGTCACTGCTCACAAGTCCCAAGGGATGTCAAGTTTTAATCCATCCCTCCTGATCGTCCCTGACCCTCCCGGGTGGGGTGCCGGCGGCTCTGCACAAAATACCGCCCTGCCGCCCCCAACGGCCCCCTCGCCTTCCCTGAGCAGCTGTCAAGCACACTGTGAGCCTGAGTCCACGTTAGGGGACTCTGGTCAGGAGTGCTCTCGTTCCCGGTCGTGGCTGTGGGCACACGTTACTTGTGCCTTTTAAATAAACAAGAAGAACAAATGTTTCTGTAGACTCCGGTGCAGAAGGCACAGGGGTTAAACAGGGCAGGCCATCTGGAGACCCGGCCGCATCTAGGAACAAGTTCCAGTATGGTCTTGAAGGGGCACGTGAGTGTGGGTGAGAGACAGATGATGAAACTGAACACAATGAAAAAAACCCCAAATCTCTCCACCTATCTATCCACCTTTTAAAATTCCCGGTGAGCACCCACGTGGATCCTCGCCATTTCCCCCCAGCAGTCTCTGTCCTCACCGCTGACCGGCCACGCCCTGGTGACTCTAGACCACAGGTGCGCTTTCCGCACCCAAGTAATCTTTGCTCAACTAAATGAACACGAAGATTTCTTAGCGACGCGTTTCCGTCACTGTTAATTTTTCATGGGTTATTTCTCCCTGCCTGCGACAAACCGTTAGGCAACCCAGTGCTTCTGCTTCAGCCTAACTCACAGGCAAGGTCTGGCTGAACCATCAAGTGAAGCAGAGAAGGCACACAAGTCCTGGATTTCCCGTTGAGGGAAGATTCGCTCGGGCAAGGTGGCAGGGGCTCCAGAATGACGCGGTGAAGGTGAGCCACAGATGACTGACTTCCTTCCCGGGCCCAGCGAGCTCGGCATCACCGAGTGCATCGGCGCTCACGTGCGCCCCACAAACACGCGACAGCAATGGCGGCGACAAAAGAATGCCACCTTGCTCTCTAATGAAACAGCTATGCTGTGAACAGGCAGGCTTGGGCTGAGCTCTCCTGGAAGGTAATGAGGTATTTTTTGTTGCCTGTGAAATGATGTGAATTTCCCTGCATGTTCTGGATGGCTGAGCCCTGCCTGGAACTCTTCTGGTTAGCCAGCTGGAGGTCCTCCCCTCACAGAAGAAGCCTCATCACCGCCCCCCCCACCCCCACCCCTGGTTAAAACACCTGTACGTTCTGAAAGGAGATAAGGAGATCCCACCCCCTCCCTTCCGGGCAGCCCTTTACCTCCTGCAGTTTGATCTCCTCGGGCTGGAGGATTTCCAGCACCCCGCTGCTCTGAATCTCTGGAAGATCCTGCCAGAGGTTAAATCGCGAGTGGGGGTTACTGAGCAGGCAGATCTGGGGCAGAGCCTTCCTCTCGGGTGGGCTCGCCGGCTCGTCCTCCTCCTCCTCCTCGTCCTCATCCTCTCCTGGAGTCTCCTCGCTGGCCGGGGAAACATGGGCATTGGTTTGTATCTCTGCATCCTGTTGTCTCCTGGTTTCAATTTCCTGGAGTGTTGATTTGTCTCGGTATTCCTGATACAGGAGCCCTGAAGTCAAACAGATTTGTAATGAAGAAAAGGGAAAGATTTCAGACAAAGATCTTTCTGAATCACTAGGTCAAGGCTCGGTACTCTTATCAAGGGCAGGTGCTGCACCTATGAATACATAAAGCCAGCCAGCCCCGCACACCCGTCTCCCCAAAAGGCTCCGGGCGGCCCAATGAACTGCCACTATCTTCATTTCTCGGGAACGATCAGCATATGGAAATTTTGTTCAACAAATAAAGAAATCCATGAATGCATTCAAAATCCAATCACACAAATAGACTCGGCAAATCTAGAACTTGATGTGTTAATAAGCATTGTGCACAGAATTGATGGAGATGTGCCAATTATGTTTCAGTATCCCAACAGGATGCTTTCCCTAGCCTTAAATGCTCCAATATTAAAAACCCAAGTATGTTCATTTTTGAAATGGGAGTAATTGTAAATTCTCATCTTGAAGGAAAGACCAGTAATTCATCCCTTTTTT